TTTGCAAATGAAGAGAATCCAATTTTTACATTGCAGTGAATTTCATTGAATCGTTGATAAGCTTCTCTCAAAGTCATCATTAGTAATCTTTTTTGAATGGCTTGTCGTTTTCCTTCTTTCTGCACAGACACATAATCTTTTTGACGGGCAATGCCTGGCTTATATCATCATCTTCAAAAAAAATTATGACTGCCTATTTTGTTTCATCACTTAAGGCTGTGCCATATTTTGCGGTTTTTGACGAATGACCTTCCTTTATCAACTTAGCCTCTGTTGCAATATATATACTAGCATTAAATTGATCCATTACTTTTTGTGTTGACCATGAATAAGGCAATAACGATAAAATTAATAATTTTTCACTTCTTGCAGTGGATGCATTGGAAAACTTTTCCTTCATGTTTTCTAAAACTTCTTTGAGTTCATTCACTTCGTCAGCCTCAGGCTCGAAGTTGAAAAGATTCTTTCTAATACCTTCGTTGATTTCACGGTGCTTCTTTTCGGGGTAGTGGATGTAGTTGAGTTTTCCCACGTCTATCGGTGATACCTGGATTCCTGCAATGCCTCGGTTGAATATCTCGATGTTGACTGGTTGAGTAAATTCTTGGTACGATTAAACTGAAGTAACTGATGTCATTGATGGTACAGTTGTAAGGCTTTCACAGCTCGGTACGACAGGTACTATCACTGTAATTGGCATCTTTGAGCTTCCGGCAACATGCTGTTCCTCGTTTGAGATGAAAAGAGCTTGTTTATCAACACGAAGACGACAGGACGTGCAAATGCGAAAACCAGTATTCAATCCTGATGCTTCAAAATATCCAATCGATTTTAATTTCTGGATGGTAATATTCGAAATATTCCTCAGCTCTTTCGAGCACTTGACTTCCTCGAACGGCCGAATGCACCTGATAAAACATGCTCGTTCACTCATGCTGCTTCCTGTATTAAAAAATTAAAAATAATAATCTTTAAAAATGATTTCATTGATATACAACTGAAGGTTATGCTTACCTTTTAACCAAATGGTGTAACACTTATTTCCTATGATAACTTTTTAAGATGTATGCGGTAAAAAGCAATATTTGTGATCAACTGCTTGTTTTCACCATTCAAACTCATTTAAGTATCAGATCGATAGGTATAATTTCTACATTAGGTACAGACAGATGTTTTTGGTGTTCACTACTACAGTGTTGAGTATTTGACTTATTACCGTTAAGATCACTGATACAACTATGCAAATTGAAGACAATGAATAAAAAAGAAAATTAATCGCTAGTTTGAGCATCATTTCACTTTTATTTAGTTCTAGCTCAATATTCATCAAATGAATTTTTTAGTTTTGTTAGTAACGATACCTTTTCATGGTATCAGATGTAATGAATCCTAACTTTTCAATAGGGCCTGTGTAGAAAAACACTAATGAAATAAGCATATCTATATTGCAAAAACGGCTTGCTTGATTGCATTGGTGTCTTCGAGAAAGTTGTGCAAAATAAAAAAGCAATGACTGAAAAAATATACACGGTTGAAAAACATGTGTTTTTAATGTAAATGTAAAAATCGTGAAATTTTCAAAAAATCATAACTTTTTTGTTTTTGAGTTTACTATCACCAAACTTTGCCAGTTTGTAGCAAATATTGTGAGCTTTAATGAGGCTTAAAACAAAAATTTTCAAAAACTTACTTTTTGAGAAATTAATTTTTTTAATAAGAAATATATTTTTTTTTCATTGAAACAAACAAATTTTTTTACAGTGTGTATTTTTAACATTATTGCCAAAATAATATCTACAACTTTGCTCAAGACACCAAATTAATCGAACAAAGCGTCTCATTAGTACTATTTTTACACAGGCCCTGTTAGAAAAGTAGTCGTGATTCAATTTGAAGAACTGATAACACAAATTGGCATCTTTACTAAAAAAGAACAACTGTGCAAATTTTCATCAAAATCGGAGCCGACAAATTAAAAAAAAATTAAAAAATTCGTCAATCTGTAGAGAATCGCTCAACTGTGGAATCTAGAACACTAAGTTGAGAGCGCGCAATAAGCTAATATACGATAAGAAATAAGCTTGACAAGCACAATAAGAAGAATACCTTCTAGAACGTTGTTGTGTATGGAATAGAAGAATGAATGAGTCGCTCTTAGTCTTGTGTTAAACGCATTTAAATATAACTCATCGTTTCATCGTCTTGAAACCACATTTTCTTGACTTGTGAGATAAGGATCTTGGAGACTATTCGCTCAATTTTGCTGATTATGCTGTCAGCGATGTAAAATAATTATCTAAAATCTAACATAGAATTTTTAAAATCTTGCAATTTCTCGATTTTTACAACGAAAAATCGGTCATTTTTTTTCAACGCCGCCATTTTGATAATTTTGAAAATTTAGAAAAAAAATCCTTTGTTAGATTTAGATATTTGAATGAAGAACACAAACCACTAAAGATTTATTTTAAGCAACAAAAACATCGCCTGTATCTGTTTGGTTGCAGGGCTGCCAACAGCTTAATAATTAATATTTTGGGCTGAAAATTATCGAAATAAAGCAGAAATCTTGCGTCACTTTTCAAATAGATCAATGTAACCAATGTAAACAAATCGAGTTAAGCGATACAAACTATTGCTCTTCTTTCATTGTATGTGATACAAAAACATCCATCCAAATTTACTTTCATTTATTTAAGATAATCATAGGTAAAAAATTTTCCAATGTACAGTTTGAAATGATGGGTACATGTTTGTTACTTCGGTCATTCGGACTGCCCAACATGATTGGTGCTCATTTTCTAAAGGCGGGGCCAATCTAAAGTTAGGTACTCTACTATGACATCTGTGAAAGGGAATCTAGTATCAAATCGTCCAATGTAACACTCATTGATTATGTCATTAAGAAAAAAATTCCAATATAACATGCCCGATGTACAACTCGACTTGTCAAAACGTTGTAGGTGGTTTTTTCTATGTTGTAGCATGAAATTCAAAACAAAATTGTGCCATTACAGCCGAAATGTCACAGAATGGTATAAGCAGAAAAATGTCGATTTTGTTGAGAAAAGTATCAATCCACCAAATTGTCCAGATTTTTGTCCCATTGAAAAATTTTGGGCAATTATCAAGCGCAAATTGAAGAAATGTGGCAAAACAATCAAAATATCATCTGATTTGGAGAATTGGTGAAAGAATGGTAGATGAGTTTGACAGTACTAATGTGCACGACATGATGAGAGGTATTCCGCAAAGAGTTCGAAAATTCATCCGAAAAGCTGACGAATAATTTTTGTTGTATTTTTCCCCTAAAGCTAAACAAAAATCCTACAAAATGGTACTTTTAACGTTTTTGTACTTTATTTCACCTTGGAGAAATGACCTATTTTGTGCGGCCAAATTCTTAATGGAACAGACTTTTACCAACTATAGTTAATTAAACGTGAGAAGATTTTACGCGATAGCTAAAATTCATACCTAATATCTCGATTGCTTTTTCGAAAATCGACTATCAAATGCATTGATTTCAAAAGCTGATACGCCCTTTAAAAAAGTAATCGAGATTTTTTGTGTGTAGAGCTGCAAATAAGGCGTAACAGATTTCGTAAATGATGACTTCTCTCGATGATTTCTAGAAAGTCAACGCTTTCTCACGCATATCAACATCACCGTCGGGTAGGGGAAGACTTCAGCACCCGATGCTTGGTTTGCGTGGACGTGCCTTGAATTCCTAGAAATCATCGAGAGCAGTTATTGTTTACAAAAGCTGTTACGCCCTAATTCAAGCTGAATCTAGTGTTTATATACCGGTTTGTTTTTTTCCTTATAGGGTTAACTACCCTATTTCCGGCCTATTAAGCACAACCCGCACTTACTCTTTCTTAATCTAGCGCAGTTTAGCACCAAACAGAATGTTATTATCACTGATGGATTCCTAATTTATTTACCTTTCCGTACGTACCGTAAGATTTGAAAAAGAGAAACCAATCGTTGAGATATTTTCAAAAGTCTAACACTGCTTTTTGACGCCAAACTCGGCCTACGGATTCTAAACTCGGCCTAACGTATTGAAACGCCAAAGAATTCACTTCGGCCTATCGGATGAAGATAAAAATTGATTCGGTCGGAGCGCTTCTTTTGATTTTGGGAATAATGGGTGCAAACCTTCATACCAAGCGTTCTCATTGACTTCGTTCGGTAGCTTATTAACTAAAGTATCGTACCAAACGCATAATTGACTTGATAACTCTAACATCATGGATTTATTTGAAGTTTTCTGCTCGATAGGACCGAAATGGGCGATTAGGCTGAAGTAGTTCTCTACCCTCTGCTGTTTCTGTTACTTTTCTACGATTCCTGTTTTGTAAATTTTCAGCCAGAGACGAACGAACCAATGAATAAAAGTCTCTTAATATGAGGATTTTTTTTCTTACACCAGCACTGTTGGTTTATGATTCTGTAATTGACCACCCCTAAGCACAAGGAACCCAACAACTATCCGCCTTCTCAAGCAGTTGCCTCTTAACAAATGGAACTGCCCATGCTCAGCTCATCATCGCAGATCCGGGCCGTTGAAGCTTTTTTTTTGTTAATATTTAAATTTGTAGCTGGCACTATCGTTGCTGCTGCTTACTGCAGCAGTTGATGATGATAAAATCATTGCAGAACGTAAACTTCTATGTATGGGGAGGAAAGAAAAACCAGCCTGACTATCGGCGGGCGGCGCTCACGCTTTTGAATTACGGCGGGACGGAGGAGCGGGAGGGCGCACCATTTGGCGCGCACTTGAATCGTTGAGATCGGCGCGAGAAGCATCCTCCTCGTTTCACTCTCGGTTTTGTTTGGGATATACTACCTAGAAAGCTTGGGGTGGTGCTCACGAGCTGCGGTACAGGGGTAGCTAATAACAACAACAACGACGACGTCGGCGAAGGGGTTGCGTTTTTCCTCTCGTTTCAATATAAAAGCACCGACTGTTCTTAGCTGCCGGTACAGTTAAGCTCGATTAACCGGGCAAAACACATCTTTTCAATTGTTTTGTGGTGTTTCTGTGAGTAGGATACCAGGATCAAAGGATTCAAACTAGAACGATGCTGAAGGTGTGTGAAAAAGGATAATATGTGTTGTTAACAAATAGAATATAAAAGTGTGTGGTGACGCATTGGATTATTGGAAAGACCAATTTTTACAAAAATGAATTGCAGAAATGCAGAATGCAGAATGCATAAGATCGCAAAAGATTGAAACATTTTATTCAATAAATCGTAAATATCGTAAATGAAATTCTACAGCCCTTAAAACAATATGTAATACAACAAGACTATCAAACAGAAGAATTTACCATGTTGAGAATACCTGATCTTTTTTTTATTAAAGAAACTTTCAGCCGTCGGCTGGTTCATCTCATCTGTTGAGAAGTGTTCTAAATAACTACTACAAATTCACCTACGGTTTTTTTTCTGGTGGTAGAAAGTGCATAAAATTACGTTGGTATTTCATAGTTTAAAAATTCTGTGTATTACTGACGACAGAATTGTTGAAAAACGAGTAAAATTTCCTCTGCTGTCGAGCTTATGATTCAATTGATGATTTAATTGTGTAGTTTTGCAAAAAATACCAGATTTAATAAGTAAATTGGTTTTTCTCGAAATTCTAGACTAGCTCAATATTTTGCTCATTAAAAAAGTTCAATTGGTAGGCAATTTATTTTCAGATTGCGAGAATGATGTGTTAATTTAGTTGAAAGGTTTGCTGTACACGAGTTCTTCTTAAACTATTGGAGTTTTTAGCGACAAAATATGCTAATTTGAGGATTTATTGAGTGTTTGACTCAAAAACACAAAAGGCATATTCTACGTGCCGTGTCAACGATTATGGCCTATATTTTTTTACAGTTTTTTTTGCATTTTCAGTGTCAAAAATGAAATTAACCTCTAAATATAATTGCAAATTTGGAAAATGCGTTTAATTTCATAAAAAAAATATCAAGAGTTTCTGATTTGAGTAGCTCAAATCATTTTGGTGAGTAGTTGTAGTTCTAGTACAGTGGCAAACATTCTCTTGAATATACAAAATCATACATGAAATATGTTGAATTCAGAATGATGACGGAATTTGATCTTGCTGTTGAATGGAGCCGCATGCAGGGCAAGATAAAATAACATCCAAATGATCCATAAGATCCCGACCGATGAAAATCCCTAAAAAGGTGTAAATGATCCATAAAGAATATCAATATGGTCCATGTAAATGTGTCAAATTTAACAACAAATTTATAAAAATGTAGCGCTCAAGTTCTAAAGAATAAGCATTGATATTTTATGAATTACCCAATGATCCATGAAACGTTAAAAAATGAACCTTAAACTTAGGAAATTGATCCATACGGTACATTTTTATAATTGTGATGCTAAATTTTACATAAATATGAATCATATTAATATTTTGTATGGATAATTCACACTTTCTTAGGGATTGTCACCGGGTATTTATGAATCTTTGTGTTTTCAATTTTATATGGATCCTTCTATGAATTCTACAAGAGCAAACTTAGAGTTGCTTAGTAGAGTAGTTGTAGTTGAGTAGTGAAAAACGACATAACGTCCTGCAACATAACCGCTCCCTAAACCGTTTTGAACCACTCAAATTAGAAACTCTCGATCAATTCTTTTAGGATATTGATCGAACGTTCCAAATTTGCGAGAATATTTAGGGGATATTTTTAATTTGTTTTCGGTTACGATACAAAATCTGCCAAATAATCATGTAAACACGTCGATGGATATGGGTAGAGTGTGTCAAAAACATGGTATTGAATGATATTCCAAACTTTACTACATTCATTAATTCAGTGAGCATTTGTTCGAATATATAACCCTGTTTATTCAATTTATAATCATATACACAACTTTGATCAATATTGTATGGAGGAATTAAAAAAAAACATCATTTCCATATGCTTCTACAAACTTGCTTCATCAATGGTGGTAAGCTCCAACCGATATTATCCCCGGATTTAATCCCGATCACGAATATCGGGCTGCTTTACCTAATACCAAGGATGATCAATACGATAAGCAACATTTGGCAGATCCTTCAATCAGGGCCTGGATTAAAATTTATTCCGAGTTCGAGTTTTCCACCACAAGTGTCGTTCGACACTTGTTCGACAAGCAGTTATTATTTTACTTGCGACGGAAAATCAAAGAGAAATTCCTCTCTGGCATTACTGGTCTCCCGTTGTCCCTAATGTCGCCTATGGCGTCGGATTGGTAATGGTGCCACTTTAATTGAGAGCTATTTATTATTCCAACCAATGCATGCATTTGCATATTGTGTGGCAAGCTCAATGGTACTCTTTTCACTCGGCAATCAGCTAATAGCCCCTTTGACTGTTTGTGAAAGATTGCTGAGCTCAATTAAAAAATGATAGAACTCATTTGAAGAGTTCCAGTGAGGTTTATTTGAATCAACCCAACAGACACCCTTCAAACTAACTTAGGAAGATCACAAAAGTATCAGGGGATATGTCGTTTTCGTTTTTGCACCGAATATCAAAATATTTAGGGTTTTGATCACGTGTACGATTGTTTCCAAACAAATGATTATGAACACCAACACAGCCAGTTAATGAAATCTAAATGATAGATTTTCCTCCATAATTTTCCTTCCCAAATAACATGTTGCACATCAGAGATGCGCAAAATATATCAAAACGGCAACGCCTACTGTGCTGCATTTAAGGGGCAAGATGATTCAGAAACCTCAGGCCTGTTCATACCAAAGATTTAAACGCGATGCTTCAGACGTAGGAGAAAGGAAATGGAGGAAGGAACCCTAGTTCTATCTTCTCATGTATTTTATTGAAAAGCGGGTCTCTAATAAATGTGCAGGAATAGTTCGCGGAAATTTACAACGCCTCGCGAACTTTTCCATTTGTGACCTTCGTAAAATCTTTTTTTTTCAACACTGAACAAGAAGAGGTGAGAGCTAGATTTCAGTAGAGATAAATAGAACGAGAATAAATTGTAAATTTAAGTATTGTGTGTGGCAGTATAATTTTTCAAACTGGCATTATACCATCTGATCCCTGTTTATGACCGTACTACTATGCCCATTGATTTAACACACGGCGGCTCTTTATCCAGGATTCACTCCTCAAGCCACTGCCATAAAATACTATCTATGGTACCCCCTGACGATAATATTTAGGTAAAGAAGCACCGAAGCCGTCCTTTCCCCTAACCCTGTTTTTGTTTCTGATCATAAATTTTCAACACATAAATCTTTTAACGAATTCATTACAGTTCACGGTTCTTGTCAGTTGCCTGGTGGTGACAGCCCTTTGCTCCGACGATCTCCAAGGTGCTGAAAGCGGTTGGGGTGGATGGAGCTCTGGCGGCCAAGGTGGAGGTAGCTATGGTGGTGGCTACGGAGGCGGTCAAGGAGGCGGCTACGGAGGTGGCCATGGAGGTGGTAGTGCTGTGATCATTTCATCCGGCAAGGGTTGGCCATCATCCGGTGGTTGGACCCAGGGCATTTCAAGTGGATCAGGATGGAACAAAGGAGGCTCCGGCTGGAATACGGGAGGTTCCGGATTGAATAAGGGAGGTTCCGGATGGAACAAAGGAGGATCTGGTTGGAGCCAAGGAGGCTCGGGAGGCCTTGGAGGCGGATGGTCAAATGGTGGAGGCTACGCTAAGTCGTACAGCCATGTTAACACTGTGAGCAAGGGATGGCCGTCGGCTGGGTCTTCCGGATGGTCGTCCGGTGCATCTGCCTGGCCGTCAAGTGGTGGTTCAGGGTGGTCTGGAAATACTGGTGGATGGAGCAATGGGGGAAGCTCTGGCTGGCCAAGCTCTTCGGGATGGAGCTCGGGTGGAAGCCAGGGATGGTCTGGAGCCGGAAAGGTATTGAGCTCGGGTGGAGGATATGGCAGTGGAAAGGGATGGTCATCAGGAGGTTAGTCATCATCTTCGACATTGTTTTCTGTTCAGAACATTCAACTCATATTATTGTTATAGGTTATGGCGGTGGAAACGGATGGTCGACTGGTGGAAGCGTTGGAGGTCACTCTGGAGGATGGAGTAACGGTGGATCCAGTGGTGGGTGGAAGAGCTGGTAATTGGTGACTACCTTGAATATATTATAATGACTTGTGTTCAGAAAATTGCAGCTTTTTCACGAATAGTCATCAAACAACATTTGTATAAACTCATGTAAAGTGCAACGTTTACGAGGACGTTTGTATATTTGTAAATAAATGAACATAAAATTGCAAATGCATATCTAAATTTAGTCCTTATTTAGCAATTCTCGAGAAAATAATTTTAATCCTTTCTAAAAAACATCCTTTACATTCACAATTATATAACTACAATTAATGACTCTTAAAGAATGTACACAGTTTGAAAATGTAGTGTGAATTTCTGTAAAATATGAGGTACATGAATGGAACGTCATTAAGGTCCATGCCTATAAATCTCCATAAGGATGTATAGAAGCTTTTTGGTTTGTGAGCTGTCAAGTCTTATCCATTGGTTCACTCGGGTGAGAAAGGTCGTAATTTTTCGCCTAGTAAATTTCGACGAGATTTCCTGAGACATACAATCTCTGATAAGACCTTCCTTCGGAAGGGAAGTAAAGCCGTTGATCCTCGGTCCATGAGTTGATAGGTCGATAGATAGGGTCCAGGTGTGACTGCTGCCTCCTTGGCATCGGTAGCATTGGTGCTCAGCATGGAAAACAAGAGCAACGGAAAACAAATCAAGAGAAAAAAGACGAAAACGATACCGCTGATCGAAAGCAGCGACCGGTTCCAAAGCTAGCTGTCGTTGTGCCTTTGTTGACGCCATAAAATAGGAACTATTAAAAAATATTATAATAGTTCTTACTGGAAATAAATTCCTTTTACGAGTGAGAGTAAGTGATATGCAACTTTAAGTTTTTGCTCCTGCGATGATGGTGGGAACTGCTTAGTGTTGTGCTCTTGCACTTGTCTTAAGCTCGGCGCTACCTGGCGTTGCAAGCTCGCTGATCGTATCTCCACTTACGTTACAGCTCCGACAGTATTTGTGTAATTGTCCTGCTGACAAAATTAGAGATACCCTCAGCTCGACACATTTTATCCACCTTAAGGGGAAGTTTACCTCTCCGAAGAAAAAAATAGTTACGTTGCGATTTTTATAAAAATATTGAAAAAAAAAATATCAAAAATCTAAAAAAAAATTACATTTTTATCTAATTTTCTGAACAAAATTCATGTACAAACACGTCTTTTGGTAAAAAAATCACAAAACGTAAAAAAAACTAAAAAATTACAAAACGTCGACTTTTTGGTTTTGCTGAGAGTCCAATTTTTTTTTTGATGATGAAGTAAGAAAAATGTGTTTACATGTAATTCTTGTCAAAAATCTATGAAATCAATTGGTTTTCTTGGATTTTTGATTTTTTTTTTCCCAATACTTTTTGAAAAATAAAAACGTGGCGAAAATATTTTTTTTTATTTTTGGGGCGATAAACTTCTCCTTAAGGGCAGCCACAATAAAAAATACCATGACCAAACGATAACCCAAATCATAGAACTATGGTTTAGATGATACCCAGAACACGTTATTATGTAAAATAAACATACACATATTTTTAGGGAGGCATGATCGGATAAATGATCACCTTTTGGAGCTTCTAGCTTCTAAAAGGGCACTAGCAGGTCATCCGAAAGATCTCGAACAACTGTTAAAGTGGTAAATTCATGAAGATTGTCCTAGAGCCTGCGATTTTTTCGAAAGCTGGTTTTTCCGAAATAGATGTCTCCTAAGCATGACTTCGGACTTGTTCCTAAAACAGGGATTACCTTCCGGAAGATCCAGAACAATCGTGATCAATTCATAAAAATGGTCCTACACCCAACCGGTGGATGTAAGATTCGCTTACAATTATGTGGGATTCATCATCAGAGGATGTAAGTGGAGACCGCATGAACCGAGGATGCGATATACCTAGCTGCGGTCCAATGCAAGAAAATTGGAGACCGAAAAATGTGGAGTGTATTAGTGAGTGAAATTAATTATGTCAAAAAAAAATAGGAAGAAGGTTGCCGACTGGACTCGAACAATGAACGTTGCGATTATCAGACCTGTGCTTTCTCCACTGCTCTCTCCATGCTCCTGAATATGGATAGCCTAAAAGCAAACAACAAGCGCTCATTTCCTCTCACACTTGACTTCGTATGCTTTTTCTGATGGAGAGATTCGAGGCAAGTGTGTGCGTCGTTCTACCATGTTATACATAAAAATCAAGGCAAATGCTTGCTTGTGTAGGTGAAAGCACAGACAGAACACGAAATCAGAAAGGCAAAAAACCATGGTCAACTTTTAACATTCGCTGCGATGTTCATGAACAGAGGATGATAGGAAATGGAACTAACATTCATTGTAATAAATTTTTGGTTTGCGTGTAGAGCTTAGCGGTTTTTTCTAAAGCAATATTTGAAGACTCATTTCAATTAATTCGGACTTGTGACAGGCAAATGTACCCTGGGAACCATGGGGTAACCTTTCAGATGATCCGAAAAAACCGACATATAGGCTACAGGGTGACTTTTCTCTGCATTTTTTCAAAAGCATTTCTAGAAGTCTTATTAGAATTAATTCGAACTTGTGACCGTAGCATGGACCTTTTTTGTAAGTGCTTTCAAAAGTCTCCTTTGAATGAGTTTATATTTGCGCCTGGGATTTGGGCCCGGGACAACAGGGTTATTTTCCATAAGTTCCGAATCATCCGTAAGAGTGGTTAATTTATGAAAAAGGTCCTAGAACTTCGCGCTTCTTTTGAAATGCACTTATAGAAGCCTTAATAAAACGTATTCGGACTTGTGACTATAATATGCATGACCTTTCGAGATATCTAGATATAAAGCCACACACTGGAGAAATCCAGTAGGGCACCAGTTGTTGCTACATGCTATCCAGAACAACCGTAAAAGTGACCAGTTCATGAAACTGGTCCTGGTGGCTTGTTTTTCTTGAAAGCTCTTATGAAAGACACAATAGAATTAATTCTTACTTGTGACCGGAATATGGACGGGGGTTGACATTCCGTGTTATACACGGATAGAAAAATGTTTGCATTAAACCAAAAGAAAACTTTAGTTGTATTTAAACAAACAATTCCGGTTGAAATTATATTGCATTTTGTTGTTTCAATTTTCCTTAGTCATATAAATTCAAAACAGGATTCTTTTTGTTTTAATAAGTCACTTTTCAACTGCAACTATTGTAAAAATAACAATATTCCCTTATTAAGCCAACAATAGTTAATTTTAATTTAGCATTTATTTGCTGTGTCCATTCCCCGGGCCATGAATGCAAAAATAACTACCAACCATTCCCTCGTTTTCACCCGGACAAAAATGTAAACAATAACAAAATTTCCGAAAATCTTGAGACTTGAAGTAAGTAAGTATGCTGCAGTTCGAGCAGTGATTTCAGATTTGGACGTAATTGCATTTGAAAAAAAAAACACGTCAATCACCGATTTCTCGCGAATAAAAGCTCAATCTCGAAAAAAAAATAACACTTTGAAGTAGAGGAATGATTCATCTATCAATTGGTATAGTTTTTTTTTTTTTTTGTGGGATCGAGCTTTTATTCAAGAGAAATCAGTAACACTAGTTTACAGCATTTTTGAACTCGGTAAGGTGATGATCATTTCCAATGCAAAATCCTACGCTGAATTCAATGCCGTGGTCAGAAAAAATTAAAGTAGATCCATTTTTGAGGTATACAAAAATTTTGATTTTTTGAATTTTGGACAAAAGTACGATTACTAAAATGTCAATATCTTTGGAACTAGTGCACCCATTTTTCAATATTTTTTTATGAAAATAAAGCTAAATAAATTTGCTATCGTTCACTAGAATATTATGTCTTAATTAAAAATTTAATTTTGAAGTCATTTAAAAATTTACAGCATTTTTTTAATTTTTCCTGCGAATTTTCCATAAAAATCTTGTTTTAATCAACATTTTTAATGGGATAAAAAGATTCAAAAAATCATTCCATAATTTATTCCATTTAATTTATATAAGTCCATTCAAAACCGGAGAAAATGAGTCTTTAATGGATGAAATCGGTTGGAAATTGTCGGAGTTATGAGCATTTTTGTAAAACACTTAAAAATGTTGCTGAAATACAACAGCTTTAGAGTTCCTTTTCTAGGTGTCGTTGTAAGCATCCAAATCGCATGTAAAGTTTTCATGGGAGATTCTTTTCTCTACATATTAATTTGATTAAGGCATATAAGGATTTAAAACCGAGTTGATACAAAAGAAATTTATTTAGGTTTTATTAAAAATGATTGAGAATCGAATGACTTTGTCTTAGATGTTTTGAACTTGTTTCTCGAATCAGAAACCAACAATAGTCACCCATCATTGCTTCATCCCAAAACCCTTGGTAACGACGTTCCATCATCTTCATTTGTTGGTGAAAACGTTCGCCGTGCTCATCACTCTCGTCACCAAGATTTTCCGGGAAAAAATCCATGTGAGAATGTAGGAAATGTATCTTCAAAGACATATTCACACCTGTGTTCAGTGAAATAAAAGGATTTGAAATTAATTATATGTAACAAACACAATATTTTTGATTTATACCTATTTTCTCATAATTTTTGAGCAATTCATCGACGGCTTCCTCATAATCTGGGCTTCTGAAATTTCCTAAAAAGGTTGTGACAACACGCTGGAACGATTTCCACGCTTCTTCCTCATCTGGTGTCAAAACTGTATTGAATGCGGAATCATTGAGCAGTTTTTTGATCTGTGGGCCAACAAATACACCTTCCTTTATCTTTGCGTCAGATAAATTTGGAAATACTGATTTCAAGTACTGGAATGCCAGCCCTTCTTTTTGCAACGCTTTGACGAAAGTTTTGAATAGCCCAAGTTTTATATGTAGTGGTGGAAGTATTATGCGTTCTTTTACCACAAGAGGATCATTTTTAACGTTGTCTTTACCAATTGTGAACTTATCCCGTTTTGGCCAATCTTTTCGGACGTAGTGTTCCTTACGAGCTCGACTGTCCCATTTACACAAAAAACACATATATTTTGTGTATCCCTGTTGCAATCCAGTCAACATGGCAACCACTTTAAGATCGGAACAAATTTTCCAATTGTGTTGATTGTAATTTATCAAATTGAGCAATAGAGCCATTGATTCATACGTTGCCTTCATATTAACGTCATGAGCTAATGGAATAGAAGGTTTCTCATTCCCTT